TACTCCTAACGTAGCCATTCCAGAAGACCTACAATGTGCACATATCACAGGGTGTGAGCAGAATACACCTTCACCTCATTGCCTGAAAGTGAGCCAAGAAAAGCTAAATTGCACATCTTTCCAAACAGTGTCTTTTGGGTATGCAAACATATGGTTACCTAAAGGGTGGTTCTTCACATGTGGGAATTCCAGAGACAAGAGTATAACAACATACATACATCAGACCCAAGTGTTATGGAATGAAACTTATCTGCATAGATGAGATAAGTCTCATCAGGGGGGAATAAAGTGGTACCTGGAAAAATACTGATGGTCCGACAAAGAATATGGGTAAAAAGCAGATGGCCCACCAAAGAATGTGTATGAAAGGGAGGTTTGTTTTGCTTACAAGACAACTCTTAAATTTAGGATGGCCAGACATCCTGTTCCCAGCTCTGCACATGATATATTACTAACTGCTTGTCACATGGTGTATCTAAATTGCTTAACACTTGATATATTGCTGATTGCTAAAAACATTCCAATGTAAACGAGGAGCTATCGATTATAGATCTGTCTAGTAGTTTTCCCATGTTAGAATAAGGACTATAGAATGTAATCATGTGAGGAATGTGACCTGCTCAGGAAATAACTCTGCTTGAAGGGTTATAAAAATGGTCATCAATGACCAGGCTTTTGTTCAGATTTCTTCAGCCAGGATGGCTCTCTGAACCTGCGCGCAATAAACTTCCCTTTCCTGAAAGAGCTGATTCAAGTTTTTCAATTCCACAACAGAGTTGAGCTGGATTCCTTCTTGGGGGAGACTCTGAATTGGGGAGGAGAACCGGAACCCCCATCCCATATTCCCAATTGCTGAATCGGGACCTGGAGGGGAGGGGGGAACTGAGGGAGAAGGATATTGGGGGGCTGAATTGCTCCTCTAAATTGGCTACACAAAATGATTTTTTGGTGAGAGGGCTGGAGCCCCTCCTTTTGAGGTGGTCTGGGGGGGGCTGCAGGGGGTCTATTTGGGCAGGGGAGTAGAAAGAGGCCTCGAAAATCACCCAAAGGCAGTTTGTGGGGTTGAAGATGGGGGCGAGGGGGGGAAGATGAAAAGGGAAGGCGGGGTTTGAAGGGTGGGGAGAGCCCAGCAGCATGGGTGTGGGTATCCTGATTGTGACCTCCGCCCCTTATGCCCCCGTAAGGGAGAGGGAGAGAGAAGCATGGGTATTATTTCCCTTCCAGCCCAGAGGGGGTCTCTTCTCTCCCCCCATATTTCCTGCCAATTTGGGGGGCAAAGAGGCCCCACCGGGATCCAACGTTCCCTGCAGACAGTTAGGCCGAGTGCTGGACCAGCTGAACTTCTGCCTGTCTTTTTCCACCCTGGGGAAGATGGAGGCGGTCCCTCACTAAGCTCCTCCCCTCCCTCATTTTCCTCCCCCCTCCCGACCCCCCATTAAGAGGGAATCCCGCTAGGACCGACAGTTCCCCATCCCTCCTCCAGGGGGCGCCTTCTGGTAGCCTCTTCCGGCAGATTTCCTCCCCTCCTCTTACAAGCCTGTGTCCCTCCTCGAGGAGAGGCTGGGAACCATGGCCTCTGGAGTCCCTCCTGACCCTCCTCCTCCTCCCCGCAGCCCATTTCCTGTACCAGGGGACGTGCGAGTGCCGCTTCATATCCTCTCCGGAGCTGGCATCAAACGCCCCGCTAAAATGCAGCCCCCCCACCCAGACTGAAGGGATCCCCCCCCCCTCCAACTTTCTCCGCTTCTCTCTCGGCTTCGCACTATCTCCTCTTGTGGATGAACTCAAGGGAGGCTCTGCCCGGAGACCGATGACGATGCAGAAGGGAGAATTCCCATTGGTCCTTCCCCTTTTCTGGGCCCTCCAGATTACGAAATACGAGGAAAGCGCTTCCTCCCCCCAAGCCAGACCCCCCGATTCTGCCTCTGGGGCTGGGAGCCTCCGCGTCTCTCTCCCCGCTCTCGGGGGGCGCTGGTCGGGCGGCATCCATGGGCTCCGTTGGGGTCCCTCTTTTGTTGCTGGTGGGGGCGCTGGCCCGGATCCCCGGAAGCGAAGGGGGGAAGGAGACGCCCGGTAAGGAGGGGGCTGGGCGGGGGGACGACAGGAGGGGCCGTCTGTGCGCCCGGGGAAGGGGGAGAAAGGGGCTGGGAACCCAGAAGTGGGGAAAGGGGTCAAGGGCAGGAGCCTCGATCTCCGCGTGGTCCCCCTCCCTCCCTCACCGCATTTCCCCCCGCAGGACGAAGAGGAGGACCCCCCTTCCCTGGTTGTGGCCGAGGTGGGCGGGGGTCGCGGGAAGGCAGCCCAGGTGGGATAAGAGGCAGATAGACCCCCTCTCTCGCCCCCCCCCCCGTGGCTGGGTGGGAGGGGGACCTTGCGGACCCAGAATTAGCGCCTGAGCCCGAAATTTCTTGCACCGAAACAGGAAGGAGACGGAAAGCGAAAGTGAAAGGGAGAAACGGAGGCATTTTCAGAGCTGAATCCACAAAGGCCAGCAAAGAGTATAAGAAAAAGAGGGGTATTTTTTTTGGCAAAAAGTGTTTTTGCAACTTCAGTTTTTCTTCTGAATCTCCATTTATTTTAAGGTGAGGGAAGAGATGAGTTTGAGTTCCTTCTCGGGGGAGACTCTGAATTTGGGGAGGAGACCCAGAACCCCCACCCCGTATTTCTCCATTGCTGAATCGGGACCTGAAGGGGAGGGGGGAACTGAGGGAGAAGGATATTGGGGGGGTCTGAATTGCTCCCCTAAATGGGCTCCCCAAAACTGTCCCTTTAGTGAAGGGGGCTGGAGCCCCTCCCTTTGAGAGGGTCTTGGGGGCTGCAGGGGGGTCTTTTGGGAGGGGACAGGAAAGAGGCCTCGAAAATCACCCAAAGGCAGCTTGTGGGGGGTAAAGATGGGGGCAAGGAGGGGGGGAAGAGGAAAAGGGAAGGAGGGGCTTGAAGGGCGGGGACAGCCCAGGAGCATGGGTGTGGGTATCCTGATTGTGACCCCCGCCCCTTATGCCCCCGAAAGGGAGAGGGACAGAGAAGCATAGATATTATTTTCCCTTCCAGCCCAGAGGGGGTCTCTTCCCTCTCCCCACATTTCCTACCAATTTGGGGGCCAAAGTGGCCCCACCGGGATCCAACGTTCCCTGCAGACACTTAGACCAAGTGCTAGACCAGCTGAACTTCTGCCTGCCTTTTTCCACCCTGGGGAAGATGGGCGGGTCCCTCACTAAGCTCCCCCCCTCCCTTATTTTCCTCCCCCCTCCCGACCCCCTCCTGACCTCCTCCTCCTCCCCGCAGCCCATTTCCTGTCCCAGGGGAAGTCCGAGTGCCGCTTCCTCTCCTCTCCGGAGCTGGCATCAAACGGCCCCCTAAAATGCAGCCCCCCCACCCAGAGTGAAGGGATTCCCCCCCCCCCTCCAACTTTCTCCGCTTCTCTCTCGGATTCGTACTATCTCCTCCTGTGGATGAACTCAAGGGAGGCTCTGCCCGGAGACCGATGACGATGCAGAAGGGAGAATTCCCATTGGTCCTTCCGCTTTTCTGGGCCCTCCCAATTCCGAAGTTGGAGGAAAGCGCTTCCTCCCCCCAAGCCAGACCCCCCAATTCCGCCTCTGGGGCTGGGAGCCTCCGCGTCTCTCTCCCCGCTCTCGGGGGGTGCTGGTGGGGCGGCGTCCATGGGCTCCGTTGGGGTCCCTCTTCTGTTGCTGGTGGGGGCGCTGGCCCGGATCCCCGGAAGTGAAGGAGGGAAGGAGACGTCCGGTAAGGAGGGGGCTCGGAGAGGGGCTGGGAGGTGCTGTCAGGGCTCCTGAGGGGGGGGGGAGAAAGGGGCTGGGACCCCTAAAGTAGGGAAAGAGGTCGAAGGCAAGAGAGGCGTGAAACTGCAGGTGCCTCGATCTCCGCGTGGTCTCCCTCCCTCGCCGCATTTTCCCCCGCAGGACGAAGAGGGAGCCCCCGTTCTCTAATTATGGCCGAGGTGGGCGAGGGTCGTGAGAAGGCAGCCGAGATGGGATAAGAGGCAGCTGGACCCCCTCTCCGCCCCCCGTGGCTGGGTGGGAGGGGGACCTTGCGAACCCCAAATTAGCGCCTGAGCCCCAAAGTTTCTTGCACTGAAAGAGGAAGAAGACAGAAAGCGAAAGCGAAAGAGGGAAACTGAGGCATTTTCAGAGCTGAAAGAGGGGTTTTTTTGGCAAAAGTGTTTTTGCAACCTCAGTTTTTCTTCTGAATCTCCATTTTTTTAAGGGGAGGGGAGGGGTTGAGATGGATTCCTTCTTAGGGGAGACTATCAATTTGGGGAGGAGACCCAGAACCCCCCACCCCATATTCCCCCATTGCTAAACCGGGACCTGGAGGGGAGGAGGGAACTGAGGGAGAAGGATATGGGGGGGGTCTGAATTGCTCCCCTAAATTGGCTACTCAAAACGATTTTTTTGGTGATTTAATTTAACAATTAATTTCGTTAATTGTTCCTTTAAAAGAAAAATGTGCCCGAACAAAACATCCTAGATGTGGATAACACAAATTTTTGAAATTTTGGGCAGCTTTTCATTACAGAGACCTGAAAACAGTGCAATGAAAAACAAACACACACACACATAAACACTAAAATCTGGCCCAGGAGGTTTCCAGGTTTTGGGAAATTGCAAAAGAGAAGGGAAGTCTCCTTGTGACATTTCACACAATTTCTGGCGAAGTGACACCTAGCTTTGCTTCCACCCCTCCCCCATCCTGGCCCCATCATCTTTGTTAATATGAAACGTCTGGGGGGGGAGGCCTCATCTTGATTAACTCCCTAATTAAGCCAATTAGAGAAAATTCCATCAGCCCCTGAAGGTGAATCGCTGGTCCTTTGCATCCTTTTCCTCTCTGAAAGGGGGGGGATTCTCCCTCATCCTGTCCCTGCCTATCAACCACCCCCCTGCAGTGTGGGTCTTCCTGGGGAGGCTGTAATAATAATATGTTATTTACCCTGAAGGTTTATATTCTAATCTTCTTCCTCATCTCTTTTTCTACAGCACTCATGAATTAATCCTGCCGTCCTTCCTGATTCCTGATGGGAAAGGAAGTTTTTTTTCCCAGTAGCTGATGAATTTCTGTCTTTCTTGCAATGTCTGAAAAATGGAGGCTCAAGATTTTAGATTGGGGAGAGGAGGAGAATGGCAGCCTGGAGCTTCTGCTGCTGAGACCCCTCTGGCTTTCCTTTCAGGGCCTCCCTTTCTTGGTAGGGAGGAAGGGATGTCTGTCACTCCAGACATCCAACTATGCTTTGAACCCACAGCAGCTTCATCTCCATCACTCTTCCTCCGAATCCCTTCCCTTCCCTTTGCAGTAAAAGAATAAAATTTAGATTGTAGGAAAATGCAGGAATTTTTCCTTTCTTCCTCTTCCTCCTCCTCTTTCCTGCCCCTCAGGAGAGTCCCCCCTTCTCCCCTCCCCATCCCCAGACTGACCATCCCGCCTAGTTTAGGCCTGAAAGGAGTAGATTAGTAATCAGAAATCTCAAATGATTCTAAAGGTGGACAGAAAAAGCCAACTGAAAGTCATAAATTCAGGCAAATAAGAAAAGCAGAGGTTGCTAGTTAACTGAAACCGCAAGAAGAGGAAACACAAAAACTGAGGATAAAGTTTAGAGCTTAAGGCAGCAAAGGCATAACCAGAAACAACTGTAGAGATCATTATAAGAATTGAGCTTTGTTTACAGAATATTAGATGGTGATGGATAGAATGTGCACAAAGGAGCTTCCTGGAATGTGGGGAGGGGGACAGTCGTTTTAGGAGGTCCGGATAGTTTATCGGATGATTAGGGAAGGGGCGTTGAGTGTGATAGGGGAGGGGGGAGTCTGCCTCGGGGGTAGGATATAAAAATGTGTGAAACAGCTCTTGAGGGTGTGGCTGGACTCCTCCATCTGTTTCAGCTCACCAAACTGAAGCAAATGCTTCTTTTGAAATAAAACTATGTTGCTGGAATTCCAAGTGAGTTTGTTTGTTTTGGGATCTTGAGCCACGTTCCAAACAGGCCCGAAGCCAGAACAAGTTTGAGAGGAGGGTGGGCAGATCCCAGGGAGGAGAAGGGGCAGGGCCCCCCTCCTCAATCTCCTTAAGCCCTGCCAGATGGGGGGACCCCTTGGAGACCACCTATTCTTGCTTCCCCTGGAGAGCCTCTTCCATGGCTGGGAAGCTGCTGGAGCTGGTGGTCTCTCCAGGATTGGAGCCAGTTTGAGCCCCTCACAAGCCAGGGAGGCTCCCTCCCCATTCACACCCAGCACCTACCCACCTCCCTTCCTCCCTCCTTAGTTGGAAAGTTGCCCTGGAGGGCAACAAAGAAGGAGGGAAGCTTCGGGAGTCTGGACCAGACGGTCAGTTCAGACGGACTGAAGAAAGCTTTCTGAAGGACGGAAGAAAGGCTGCCTGGTAAGCACAGGCAGCCCAAGTCATTGTCAGCTGGAAGAAAAAAGCGAGGAGTCACGGTGCTCCACCAAACAGCTGACTGTCAACAGCGTGCTGAAACTGGGTGAGCCTGTTTTTTTTATTCCTTTTCCTTAAGGACTCAGAAATACTGATCCCCTGATAAGGAAAAATCTACAAAGTAAAGACCCCAGAAAGTCTAGGGGAGAAGAGAGATAAAAGTGGCGAGCAATTACAAGAGGGGGAAGGAATTTAAGGAATATAAAAGAATACTTAAAAATGGAATATCGTGGAAAATCTTTTTAGATTTAATTTCCAGGGTAAATAACTTCCAAAGAACTTTAAAAGAAAACTTTTTAACAGTCTTTTAAAACCGGATATAGACAATACAGTGTATGAGAACATCTAGTGGTAAAAGGAGATACTACAGTAATACCAAATGATAAAAGAATTTGAAAAGTGTTTTACCTTGAAACAACACCTGGTGTAAACAAAGTGCCTTTATATGACTGTGCATGAGGAAAGACACTCTAGAATTATATCTGTTGACTATAGATATAACTAAAACAGGAATTAGTTGGATACAGCAGGCATTTTATATTTGTGATTTGACTGGAGGATTTGGATTTAGCCTAAAGTAGTTAGCTCGATTTTATGGTTGGGTTTTAGCCTAAAACAGTTGGCTTTTTTTCTTTTTTCGCTCTCTTTTTTTCTCCTAGAGAATTTGTATCTAGCCTAAAGTAGTTGGCTCTTTTCAATGTTTGGATTTTAGCCTAAGATAGTTGGCTTGAAAAATGAGTACATCAAATCTCACTAGACTTATGATATAAACTTCCTCTGCACCTTCTGTCAAAACATTTAACCCAACAAGCCAGGGATCTATTGAAACAATGTTGCAGCATGAGAAAATAAGCACTGCTCAAACTGAGATGCAAACCACATTAAAATTAATTCAAGAATCAATACAGAGAAATCATGAAGAGACAAAAAGTAATTTTGATAAATTAAACGAACAAATGTTGGCTATAAAGACACAATTTGAAGCCCATCAGCAAATGATTGTTAAAAAAGAACAAAGATTTCAGAAGATGGAAAATAAATCAGATGATATTGACGTAAAAATGGAAGTACTAATATAAGAAAATGAAAAATTAGAACAAGCAAATCAAAACCTAGAAGGTGCTGTGCCAGTTTTAGAAATGGAGAAAGTGGAACACTATTTAAGATTTCAAATATTCCTGAAGACAGAGAAGAAGATATAGCAGTTGTGATTATTATAACCAATAATAACCAATAATAATGGATAATTAGAAGTTACCAGCCTAAGAAAAAAATTCACAATCATTCCCCTGATTTTGCCATTAGATGTTCCTTAGTGTTTAGATCTGGTCTCAGGATGATAATGTAGCACTTGGGGAAGAAGATGCAGCTCAATAGTCCAGCACCGGAGGCCAAGATGGAGAAGACCTGCACGGCCACCATGTATTTTCCTTTAGTGCTCAGATAGGTGGGGAGGAAGGAAATCCAGACACTGCAGAAGACCAGCATGCTGAAGGTGATCAGCTTGGCTTCATTGAAAGCTCCAGGAAGGTTCCTGGCCAGGAAAGCCACAGTGAAGCAAATGGCAGCAAGGAAGCCCAGGTAGCCAAGGACAACATAAAACATGGTGACAGAGCCTTCATTGCATTGAAGGATAATCTCTCCAGGCTGGGAGTACAGATCAGAGTCAGGAAATGGGGGAGAAACTCCCAACCATATGGCACAGATGAGAATTTGGACAGCAGAACAAGAAATGATGATGGAGTTGGCCAAGCTCTTCCCCAACCATCTTTTCACTTTATTGCCTGGTTTTGAGGCTAGGAATGCCAGCACTACTGTGATAGTTTTGGCCAACACAGAAGACACGGCTACTGAGAAGACAATGCTGAACACTGTTTGTCGGAGAAGGCAGGTGGCTTTCCTTGGTTGGCCAATGAAGAACAAGGAGGATAAGAAGCAAAGCAGAAGGGAGACCAGGAGGATGTAGGAGAGGTCCCGATTGTTGGCTTTGACAATAGGAGTTCCAAGATATTTAATGAATATGATTAAAACAAAGCCTGTGTTTAGGAACAAGAGTAGAGCAAAGGAGATGAGGATGATGCTGAGATGTTCTTCATAGGTCAGGAAGGTGATTCTTTTGGAAATACACTGGATTCGGTTCTCAGTTGGATATTGATCATCTGGGCACTTGGTGCATTTTTTGTTATCTGAGAAAAGAAAGTAATATTTCTTTTATAGTCTTTCAAATTTCAAGAGAAACTTTGGATAAGATGTGATACAGAGAGATAGAAAAGTCTCAGTAAATGGAATATACTTACACTATAACAGCAAAAAAAAACCCCAATATATACAACTATAAAAAAAACAATAACAACAACATAAATTTAAAAGAAAATCTATCTGGTGCTGCAACCTCGCTTCTTTGAGGTAATCCACCAGATTCTTATTCTGCACTGACCTTACCTTATCCCAAATGATTGGAAGAAGTAGCAAGTCTCCATTGATTTAAGAGGATGGGGGCCTATTCAATTTTAAGGGGGAGTAAGTCCAATAGGGCAGGAACTGCAGCAGAAAAGGCAGGCTTGTGATGATCCATAAAGTGGGAATCTTTTAGGGAACACATCATTTGAATGCTAATTATATCTGCTCTGGTGGCACAAGCGGATATCCTCAAGCAGAGGAAACACTGCAGATACCCTGGTTCTGTCTCATGGAGGGTTTGAAAGGTGAATTTAATTGCACCTGGAAAGAAACTGGGATTCTGTGGAGCCTGCACAGTAGGGGTGTCTTATGGAAGAACACATGGAAACTCAACACTGTGCATGCCTTTGCATTCTGGACCATTTTATAAATTCCAGGTGGTTTTCAAGAGCAACCCTATGAGTATGGGATAAAAAGATAGAAACAGAAAACTGATGGCAGAAAAAGACCTAATCTAGTCTGCCCTTTGAGTTTTTTGTTTTCTTATTTAATGTTTTATTTCATTTTTTTTTCAAAAAGAATTTCAGATGATGGAAGTATGTTTATCCCCAAAATCTTTAAACTCAGTTACTGATGATTGACCCTCCAACCATGCTCTCAATACACTGCTCCAAAAATACTGGACAGAGGATAAAGGTTTTCTAACATGGTTGGATCCATGGAGAACCACTTGAAAAGGGTTGCAACACTGACTATTTCAGGACAGGCTGTACAGCCCCTTCCCCCAAAAAAGACAAACAAACAAAAAAAATCCATTGACTATCCTGAAATTGAGAGTGTCTCCTAACTATTAGGCCTTGTAGAAATTTCTGAAAATGTCATTCTTTCAATGTTCCTTGGGATCCCCTGGTAACAGGGCCCCGTGTGTTGGTTGCATGGTAGGTAGCATCTTGATATACTCCTCTCTTGTTTTCTTAGCATTTATACTTCAATGTTTTAGTTTTTATTATTGGTTTGATTGTATTCCAACCAAGAGTCACTTTGTGTGAAATAGCCATATAAACTTGATAAACAAATTTGAAAAAAACATCTTAAAGAAGATTAATTCATAAATAAATTCAACAACAGGAACTGTATTTTTTACACTGTAAAAATGAGAAGACGAAGCAATACGTTTCTTTATTCTCTCGATTTGGCAACAATTTTAAAGAGAATGAATTCAACTTTGGTATCAAAGGATATTTAGTAATTGGTCTTTTATTAGTCCTCTGTTTCCCCCTTCTTTCTGCTCATTTTAATCCCAACACTGAATGTTAGAATTTTGTCAGAATCCAATTATATTTCATCTTTAAATTATCAAATATAGAAACTCCCAATTCTGCCTTCTCTGGATTCTGCCATAAGAGGGAGAGAAGGGGGAGAGCAAAGGGGCTTTATGGCCCTCACTTCCTTCTTTACACTTCAAAGAGCTGAATGTGTGTTTATTGTAACCTCTAAGCGTTAACATATCAAAGAAGGGTAATTGCCTTTCATGTAGTATCTGAAGTCTCCATCCAGACGGAAGAAAGAAGAAAGGAGGTGGAATTGTGATACTTGAAACTATCACTGGAAGGGGGGTTGATTGGGTGGGACTACTGGGGAACCCCTTAAAACCTTGAATGGGAGAGCTTGGACCCCAAGTCCTGTCTAGCATGCCTGCAACCATTTTCTCTTAATAAAGGATTCCTGTTGGAAGAACTATTCCAAGAGTTCTGTCTTCTTAAGATGCAAAGTGGGGTGGGTCCTTACATTAGACAGGACTTGCAAAATTAATCCACCTGGAAGGTAGACCCTTGCCGGGGGATTTTGCAAAAATTTACCATGTCAGACAACGAAGCAAGAGAGGGAGAAAACTCCCTGGAAAGAGAGCCGCTGACCCAGTTGGAACCTTGCCAGATGTTGGGATCCGAGAGGCCAGATTTCTCAGAAGAAGAAGTGGTGGAGACACAGGACCACAAGCCTCGCTGGTCGATGGGCGTTGGAAAGAAAAGCGAGTGGGGAAAGGAATCAAGAAAAGTGACCCTGAGACGGGGGACCAAGCAACCAGAATGGAAGCAGGAGAT